ATTTTTCTTTTATATTCTTTGAGAATTATGCTATCTTTTTTTTTTTTAACAGATGAAACGCACAAATTTATCTTTATAACATAAGATAACTTATCTCTTTTAACTTAAGATTAATAAACCCTTCAATAAAAGCAAGGTGGTAGCTAATTGACGGTAAAGAACTTGAGTAGATGGAAAGTTTACATATTATTTTTAAAAGGAATTTAAATATCTTTATTTTTTATATGTCTTTTGTATTTAGGATTAATTTTATAACCAATTCAAATAATCGAAATTTATGAAAAAAAATTAACTTAAAAAAATTAAAAACAAAAGCAACTTTCAAGTGTCACATGGTTTCTGACACGGATTTCGATAATGTCCTGATATATAGATAATAAAAGAGCAGCAAATTTCGTTGACTAGGAAAAAAGTGTTATTAAATTTGCAAATACTGAGAAACCAAGGCCCAATTGCCTAATTATATCAACTGTCCTTGTCCTCTTTTTCAGACCAATGGCTAAAGGTGTATTCCCTCTCGATTTTGAAAATAAAATAAAAAATGTTAATTATTAAAAAAAGGCACTGGAGAGGGGTTTAACAAGGACAACATAGAAAACAATGAATGTTTACACAGTTCATTGCCATAATGCAGATTAACATAATTTATGGGGTAGCATTTACTATTATAAAGCAAAGCAGTGTTTTAAAATATCATCTGACTTTCCGGATTAATCCGGGTTAATTCTGACCTTTCTTTCTGGGGATTAAAATTACAAGTTGGACTCTATATGCATATCGACTCTTCCGATCTCCAAAATTGGACTGAGTTTCAATGACTCCCGAGTCAGAGGGATCAAAGAGGATCACTGCATGTTTTTATTTAAAAAAAAAAAATTCCATGAAACAACATTGTTTTATTAAAAAAATAAAATAAAAATGCTTGCAAACCTAAATCTAATTGTTTTCTTCTCTCCCAGCGACCTAGACATCTTCAATCTTCATCTCGCTGCTGTGAATCTTCTAAAAAAGGTAAGAATTTTATTCATTCAAATGAAATCCTTACGGTCGTCGTTGGAAAACACAAACTCATTCTTACTTCGTTTAAATTTTCCTTTGTGATAGACCTTCTCAAAAGAGGCAGAACCTGGTCAGCATAGTGATCCGATTAGAATATGAGTTTTGTACTTTGGTATCTTGATACTTTAAGTAGATTATATAATATTGACTTGTGGTTGTAATTGGTGAATTATGTTAAGTATATTTTGAATTTTTGATGATTGATTGTTTGTTTTTTAATATTTTCATATAGGATATAAACATTTATATTTTTTAATATATAAAACCGGGTTAGCATAGTGATCCCCTGTTAAACTTGTGACTCTGTGACCCCTGACCTCGGTCAGATCGATGGCTGGGCCGGGTTTTTAAACACTGTTACAAAGTAAGAGTTTAATGTTTATCATCTGAGATAAAATAATTTTTTATATATACATAAAGTATATGGAGTTTATGTAGGGTCAAATAAAAAGAAGATAAAAAAAGCACAAGTCTCACATAAATAATTTTATCTCTTACAATATGAGAGACATTAAGGCCATAAAACAATTAATTTAACCAAGGGTTTAAAGTTTCTAAAGTTACTTTAGATAACTTTATATAATATTCACCAAAATAAATATTAAAAAAATGTGAGTGATCTATGTGGACCCCATGTAAAGCAAAGAGAGAGGAAAAGAAAATATGGACTCCACATCATAGTTATTAAAACCGGACCGACCCGGAAACCGGTAAATCGGTCATATAACCGGTTCGGTTGAAGCAACGGACCGGCCATGCATCAGAACCGGTGCGACCCGGCCGGTTTTCATGAAAACTGCTGACCCGGCCCGGTCCTAAAAAAAAAAATCCAAATTTTTGTTTTCAAAAAAAATAAAATAATAATGGACATATTTGAATATTTTTTTGCTTATTGACTTATATAAGTTATGTACCTACAATACTAATATTACTTCAATTGTACATTACGCAGAAAATTTTGATTTGATTTATAGTTAGAGATGCCATTTTCTGAATTTAAAGTCTCGTATCACGATCATTATATTTTTATTTGATCCTTTATTAGATAATAGTATGTGATTTATTATTTTTATATTAAAATATTTGAATTTTTATTATTTTGTTTAGATATTTGAGTATATTTATAATTTTTTAATATAAATTATAAAATTGCATATAATTATCGGGTCATGCGGTTGAACCAGTGACCCACTGGTTGAACCAGTGACCCACTGACCCAGTACATCGACCGGGTTAATGACCAGGCCAGTTTTAATAACATTGCTCCACACATTTTTTATATGTGTTCTTTGGTAAATATCAGATAAAATTATTTAAAATAACTTTAGAAATTTTAAATCTTTTAATCAAATAAGGTAAGTTTTTAAGTAAAGATCAGTTTAGTAATTTCATATATTATATCTTTAATATATTATTTATGCAAGAAGTTTTGGACTTGAAGGATGAAAAATTTATATGCCTAATATTTGATTAACTCTGTGCAGATTTTAACTTATTTTTTATTTTTATTAGAAAATGGGTAAAATAAAGATCAAATTCATAATCATTTGATGAGAGAGGCTCTAATAAATAATTAAATATTTTTTTGTATAGTAATAAATAAATAATTTAACCCAACAACTTAAGGTATTAAGTGAAAGTCACATTATAATTTAATATAATATATCTTTAGGACAATAATCAAAAGATGAAATTTTGGTATTTTAATTACCAAAAAGTCACAGTTTGAAAACAAAATATCAAAATGCCACATTTTAGGACTTGCTCTACGCATCGGCAGATTCAGTTTGTTTGGTTTGTCATGTGTTATCTGTAAAGGAACCCGCTCTGGTAAATAATGGGTTAATGACCTGTCATTTCTGAAAGCGAGTCCTCCCACGCGTGACACATGACAAAATAATAACCAAATGCATAAAAAGGCATCGTGAGTTGCCATATGTCGTGCGTAAAGGAATCCACTCTGAGGAATGATGGGTTCTGGACTCGTTACTGGTCAGAGCGGGTCCTGAATTCATGACATGTGGCAAACTGAACTCGCCAATGCTCAAATCAAGTCTTGAAACATGACATTTTGGGTGCGTTTGGTTGGAGTATTCCTATAAGATAGATAGGCATCAGTAAGTGGCATTTTGTCTTCACCATGTTTGGTTCATGATTTTCAAAATTTTTACAAGCAAACCAATTTGCCCATCTTTCATCAATTGTGAGTAAAATTTGACGATAAACAAAGATAAAAAATGACACTTACAATGTGGTATTTGTAAGTTGGCTGGGGAAATTGATAGAAGAAAATAAGGGAGCGTTTGGTTGAGGAGAAATTTTTGAATACTAGAGAAATGTAATTGATAGGGAAATGGTTGGAAAGTGAGTTTGGTAGGAAAATGTAAAAAAAGTTGTTTGGTTGAGTAAAATATTACTAGAAAAATTGGGTTAAATTTTTTGGGTGTATGTTTGGTTGAAGGTAAAATATTGATGGGATAATTGATTAAATATACTAAAATACCCTCTCTTTTTCAAATTGATGAGGGTATTTTAGTCTGTATCATTGGTCCTCTGCTTTGTCCATTTAGCTGGGCAACTAAAATATCATTTATAAATTGTCTTTTTGAACAGTAATTTTTGCATGCAATTCTCAAAGGCTATGCATCTGTGGTGCCTGGGGAAAAGTTCAAAATCGGTCTACCAAACGTGACTTTTGCCAACCTTAGATACATAGAAAAGTCTTGAAATAACCTGAAACAAACACCACCTAAGAGATGTGACTCGTACATTTTTTAACCTAACCTTATCACATTGCACATCTCTACCAAATTTACTTTTGTCAATTTTCAAAATTTAAAAAGGGTTACTTTTGTCATTTTATACCACTTTCTCATCAATATTTTACACTCAATCAAATATAGACTTACAAAACTTCAATCAATTTACCCGGTAATATTTCGTCTAACCAAACAACTTTTTTTACATTTTTCTATCAAATTCACTTTCCAACAATTTCTCTAAGAATTATATTTTCTTAATATTCAAAAAAAATTTCATCAACCAAACGCTGCCCGAAAGATTTTGTTCTGTATGAGCTTGTAGCCTATCAGGACCTAAAAATTGGTGGACCGTGATTTTGTATTGTGTACGTGAGAGCAACAATTGTACTTCTATTTTCTTTGAGAGAAAAAAAGAAAAGAAAATATTTTTAAAGAGAATTGTCACAACATTAGATATTTTTTTAGTGCACCAATCACAAACCTCAACATTGGTATATTACAGAGAAATTCTTCTATGAACACGTAATATGCCATTTATAAAGTTATATATCTTAATTTTTCTTTTTTCTTTTTAATAAGATTACATATTTTAAATCTTAATTTCAATCAAAGTAATGACTAATGACTGTTATATGAATCTTATTTAAAAGTGATATTACGATTTTTGTATATATCATCAACACATTTATCATTTATGTATAGTTATATTTATTAAGAAATTAATTTATCACATAATTACTATTATTATAATTAATGATTTGATCATTAAGATCATCATTGATATGAGTACAGTGCGTGGAGAGCAAAGCGCACTCGTTTCGTTGGTCACTGACTCACTGTTCGTTCGCCTGACGGTGACGGAATTCAAAAACACCCGCTTCTCTCTCTCTCTCTCTCTCTGCGGAATCTGTTCCATTCATCGCTCTCTCCTCTGTGCCCAAATTCTAGGTTTCGATTCCATTCTCTTGGGGTAAGAATTCGATACAGTGTTTTTCTAGTCCTGCAGTGGAATTTCGGGGTATCTGATCTCTTGTTGCCAACTAGTTTTGCTTCATTTTTACGTTTTTGGTTGCGTTAGTTGACTCCGCATCGCATTGCCTTACCAACTCTGTTTTCCGTTTCTGATTCTTTTTTTTTTTCTTTTTCTTTTTTGCTACTTTCTATTTAATTCAATGGATTTTGATCCATGCAACATCTTTTGTGATATGGTATCAATTTTGCATGACTGTGACAGTGACTGTGAAATTGCTTTCATCTTTTCTTCATGTGTTGTTGTTAGCTTAGGGAAAGTGTTTGATCATCGGTTTAAGCCTTGTCATCCTTTGCTTTTTTTATAAATGCTTCTTACGTGACTCTCCCTGAATTGCACGAAAACACTGGTACTACCTCAATTATATTATTTTATTTAAGTTTAAGGTATAATACTAGTTCAAATTGATATTTATCGTTTAATTGGGAGAGATGTCAGATATTTTTGCACAGGTATTCTTGTGAAACTCTTTAAAAAAACTTTTTTTTGCACCCCTGCTTGCTGGGTGTTGCCAATCTTCTTCTCATGTTTGGTTTGTAAACCAAAACTGTAGTCATTTTTAACGTTAGTATTCTGATATTTTCAAATAGGATTGTTTGAAGGAAAGATGATTATGAATATGAGGAAGCTATGCTGGTTCTCTGTACTTGAGCTTATAGTTTATCTTGTGTCACCTATCTTGTGTATGTTGCAAAAAGGAAATATTAGGGCTGAGAATTTCACTCCAGGAATCCGGGTTTTTAGTTCCTAAAGGAAGTTTGAAGCTAATTGTCTATAGTTGGACTTTCACATGTCATTTGTAGAGTGGGTATTGTGCGATTTGAGAAAATGGTAACAGTGCTATGGTGCATTTCACAAATTGTGTAATCATCACAAATGGTGGTTCCTTATTGTGAGTGGCCCATAGGTTTATCTTCTGGAATTTGTGCCTGGAACCTCTTTCATAATTTCATTTTCTTTTCTATGACTGGACAAAACAACATAACATAAGGTGAGGCTTCTATGTTTTTTACTAATGCAAATGAAATAGGCACTTGACTAACTTGTCGATCAAACAAGAATGGTTCTGAATAGAAGACAGAGAGAGAGAGAGAGAGAAGAGGGGGGGGGGGGGGGGGGAGAGAGAGAGAGAAGTGGAGAGAGAGGAAGTTGTGACTTGAGCCTTCTTTATGGACCTAAACACTATGAATTGTTATCAGGAATCAAATACTTGTCTTACGTGCAACTTTGAGGTTTGCGATCAACAGCTATGATGGTTTATGTTTAGTATGTTCCTGCCTTAACTTATTTTCTGGATTGGGCATACTCTTTATTGAGTCTTACATTGATGACGAGGTTTTATAATCTTCTGAAGTAATATTCTTACAAGTGACTTGCTTTCTTTTGAGAAAATGTTTATATTACAGACTAAGAGTACTTTTTCCTTGCACAGATCTGAAGATTGATGACAACTAGTCTGGTTTGGGCATCAATAACAAAAAGAAATTTGTGTAATATTTTGCTGGTGAGCAATTGAGCATCACCATGAGGGAAAGTGCAAAGTTTAAGATTTTATTAGTTGACTGATAACTGATATTTTATCTTTTTAATCGACAATGAAGGAAAATAATGGAAGCACGTTCTACTTTCTCCATTGAAAGATCAAATGCAAGACAACTCAATAACATGGGGATGTCTGGAGTATTTTCTTCATCCTTGCCGGTCCTTCCAACTCCCCTAGACGAGACATGTCCCAAGTTTCCTGATTCACAGCTGGCTTTTGTGGAACACGAGCTTATGACAAGACCTTTTACTCATTCAAGTTATTTAAATTCCGGTGGAGTAGTTGGGCCCATTTTTTCATCTTCCCCTGGATATTCAACCGATCTCCATCACTCATCCCTTTCACATCATGAAAAACACTCTCGAAATGCTCATTTTATTTCACATTCATCGACTAACATAGTTCCATTATCATATTCTTCAAATACTAGACCTCCAACTTCTACGACATCAAACCATTATTCCAAAGAAAACAGTGCTTCCTGGCAGACAGATTCCCTGGCAAGCTTTCTGGATTTTCCTGCAAATACCTCTATTGATAATAGTCGGGCAGAAAGCAGTGCCCACAATATCAAGGCATCTGAGGAGTATTGTAAACAAAATGATTGGCAGGAGTGGGCTGACCAGCTAATCAGTGATGATGATACTTTGACTTCTAATTGGAATGACCTTCTTGCTGACAACATTCAAGATCTTGAGCCAAAGGTTAAGTTTTTCATAACTCAAATCAATATTAGCTTTCAGAGGAAACAGATTAGCAGTTTATTCAAGTAATGTATTAGGATCTCATATTGTTCCTTTAGGTGCCATTCCAGGTTTCAAAACCATTAACGAAGTTTCCAGAACATCAATGCCAAGGCCATCAACAACTTTCTGCTTCATATGGAGAAAATTGCATTGTTGCTGCCCCTTCTTCCCCAGCAAATTCTGCTCCTGCCAAGCCACGAATGCGTTGGACACCAGAACTTCATGAGGCTTTTGTGGAGGCTGTCAATCAACTTGGTGGGAGTGAAAGTGCGTTCATCTCTCTTTCACTATTTGTTAAATCCTCAGCCTTAGTTTGCTAATCTTCAGCCTTATTTTTTTTTTCCTGTTTTTCTGTTTTCTTTCTACAGGAGCTACTCCTAAGGGTGTGCTGAAGCTCATGAAAGTTGAAGGATTAACTATATATCATGTTAAAAGCCACTTACAGGTATTTGTACTTTGCTTTTAACTCCCTTGTATTGTTTGCTAGCATGTGTTTTTACTGAAACAGATATGGCTTGAAATGCAGAAGTACAGGACAGCTAGATATAGACCGGAATCATCTGAAGGTACATAAGATATGCATTATAGTATATGTACCGGTGTGCATAAATTTAAATACTTGTTTTGTACATGAGTTAGTATCCTTTGATACTGATGAAAAATAAAACAAATATTTCACTATTTAATAAGTTTCTATAAGATGAACTTTTTTGCAAAAATTTACTGTAGGTTAAAAGCTCATGTCATGCATATCATTCTCAATTGGAAATTAGTTTTTTCTTCATTAAGAAAGTTGGCATTAATGTTAAATATGCTTTCCAAACATAAGCAAATATTAACTAGTTGATTAAATACCTATTATTGCCTAATATTTTGTGCATTCAATGGTTAGATTAACGAAAATCACCTTGAATGAGAAGTTATTGAATGGTCTAAATGTGTAATCTCTTAAACTGGTGTTAATGGGTCTTAACTCTTAACCCTTTGTATACAAGATTTGGATAAGTTGACACCGAGTTTTTTCCTTACATTAATGGTTTTATATATCTCTATTACGCCCCCTCACACGAGAGCCCATTGGACTCGAAGGGTGGACAATGCACAGGTCCACCTACCTGTGCTAAGAAATTCCACAAGAGAAAGTAGGGGGCGGTGAGGATAGAACCCGAGACACGAAGCTCTGATACCATGTAAAGAACCAAATCAACCCAAAACCTTAAGGTGTTGAGTGGGAGCCTTTTTAATGGTTTATATTATTCTCTAACACTGTGCATAAATTAATTGTGAAGTTTCTAAATGTAACACCTTTTAGAACATAGAAACTGTTGCAGCCATATATGGATATACAGATAAAAGTAATTTTATTGGAGTACAAAAGGGGATATGGCTATTTTTTGACTAGTCTAAGCTTCTTACACCCCCCCTGTCTCTCTCAATGAACCTCCTTTGTATCCAGAAATCTGTGCTTGCTCAGGAAACTAAAATTTGACCATCTTATTTGTCCTAAAAATTGACCTCAAGCTCTGATCTGATGTATGGAAGTGGTGTATCTTCAGTCGCTTCCTTGAAATCTAGACCAATACTCCTCCGTGTTGTATGCTAATTTACAGTTTGTTGACTGCTCTTGGCAGGAGTCACGGAGAAAAAAGCAAGTTCCATTGAAGAGATGTCATCTCTAGATTTGAAAACGTAAGTAAAACTATCTTCTGCTATTTTAAATAATTTCTGTTATGCAGTGTTACTATAAATATCGATACATCAAATTGTTAGACAGTATTTCATTTTCTAATGTGACTTTGCTGGTACAAATGTTACATTCTCAGAAGATTTTAAATCGATTATGATATCTGATTGCCCAGCTTTGATTGTGAATGTCTGAAATCTGAGTAAACCTAAAGCTATAAGAAAATGTGGCTCTTGAAATTTGAAGTGGGTGTAAGTTTTCCATCTACCGTTGATGTTAGTCATTTGTTTTATTTAGAGGGGAAAGTTGCATGTTCAGTGATGCTAGCTAGTAATTGCATCCTGGAGTGTCCACTAGCACACATAGAATAGGCATGCAAGATATATGGAATTTAACCCTGTGAGTTTATTTCTTCTTGTCATGAACCAACTCTCCCAAAAGTTTAAGCTATTAGGTGAAAGCACATGAATGATTTTTATATTACATCTTTAACATGCCCTTTTACTTAACAGCCCTTTGGGTTTGAAGCATAGACAATACACAGTTCCACTTACCTTATGCTGAAATTCAACTTATTTTAGTTTTTATTAGAAGAATGGGGCAGCATGAATCAAACTTTAGACCACTTGGTCATAGAGGATTTGATATTATGTCATGAATCAACTCTCCCAAAAGTCTAAGTTGATAGGTGAAGACACATGATTTTTTTTAAATTACATCTCTAACACTTCTAATGGCATTTATTGTTCCATATCTCACCACTTGAGAAGAGTAAGATAAATTTTCAATTAGGGGAAGACTCAAGAATGAATATAAGGATTAAAATAAAAGTGAAACACACTTTGTTACTAGACCATCAAAACTGCTGCAAGGACCACAAAAGATTTTAACAAGGATCATGAAGTAACATGTTAAGAAATTTCAGTGATCCAGGATTAAGGCCACAATAGAGCCAATATATGGTTCCACGTGAAGTTTTTGGCAATATTTCATGCATAATAATTGTTATGCTGACTTTACTTTTGCAATAATGGCAGTGGTATTGAGATTACTGAAGCTCTACGACTGCAGATGGAGGTTCAGAAGCGGTTGCATGAACAGCTTGAGGTATGAACTTTGTTCCTTCAAGATTTCTTTCTGACATGTTAAGTAAATGAATAATATTAAAGGACTAGAAAAGCAGTTCAAAGGATTGTTTCAACTTGCAAGCTCTATATCTGTTGCATTCAATGTTTTTAAAACCAAACTGGTCATTGAATTAATGAAGGCACTGTTTCACAGTTCACTGGTCCGACCATGATTGAGCCGGTGATAATTAGATATATATTTTTTAGTATTGTATAATATATCAATTATTAAGTACTAAACTAACATAAAATTACAAGAAATCAAGTTAGGAGAAATTTTAAATTAGCATAAAAGGATCATGTTATATGTCCTACAAGATAAAAAAACAATAATAAAAGGCTAAATAATAATCATGTATAAAATGTCACATAGAGTAAAGCAAAGAAAGAATAACCATTATGTTGCTCAATGATTCGAAGTCCTACATTGGACAACGAGTGAAGCATCCAAGTATACAACATGTCCCACATAGGATACGGAGTAGAACATCCAAACATACAACACATCTAAAAGCTAAGAGGGGGGCAAGCCATCTAATGCCTTGGCCTTTGTAGTTTGCAATTGAGTCTTCATTTGGCTCGAAAAATGTACGAGTTACGTCTTTAAAACAAAAAAAAAAAACCTCCAAACTGTTTCACGTCCAGATTTGGCAGGTTCGGCAGATTCTTGACTGGTTCTTTGGACACGGTTGATTGGACCCAACACTTGACCAGTTCATTGATTTTCCGATCAAATTGGCTGGTCTGGTCCCCTTTTTTCAACCATGGCTGTAATTGCCATGACTAGAGAAATTCATGTTTTATAGCTTAGTGGCACTGGTGAGAATAAAACTTTTGATAGTTTAATCTTTTTAGTTAAAATGAACGACAAGTGATGTTTGTGAGCTTGATGAAAGAATTGAAGGGATGTAAGTATGTAACTCTCCTCTAAGGAAATAATTTAATATTGTTTACTATTCCTATTATTCTCTGGATTTTGATTCCTATTTTATTAATTGTACTTTTTTTAATAGATTATCAGCTTCATATGTATCAAAAAATTGTAAAAAGCTGTGTGTTATGGATGAAAAATTAGATACTAACCATACACCATTCAAATTCATTTACCATACATATATCCTTGACTTTTTGAAGATACAAATTTTAGATCTTAAATCTTTTTCTTTTGAATGTTATGTATGTTCTTTATGTCTTTTCCATCTTAAGAAGACCAAAAGAATATGGTTAACATGTTTATTATGTAGACTATTCGCCATTATTTTTTGGCTACATCGGTGAGAACTTTTTTTTATTTTGTATGGAACCCATTTCTGTAATATTGTGATTGGCGTATAGATTATGCCTATAGAATTTAGGAGTAAGGTGCTTCTGTTATATTACATGCATGTAGGAATTTAGATTTCAAATTGCAAAATGTGAACTGTCTGAGGCGTCCCACTTATTTCTCTTATGCTGGTCATATCTTTTTCATAGGTCTAATACAGTTCTCCTCCCCTTATTTTTCATGTGTTAGATTCAAAGGAATCTACAGCTGCGAATAGAAGAACAAGGAAGATATCTCCAGATGATGTTTGAGAAGCAGTGTAAACCTGGCATTGAAACGTCTAAGGCACCATCATCTAACATTGAGAGTCCATCTGGAGATTATTTGAATTTTACTAAAGATTTTCCTGCCAAAAACGAAATGGAAGCATCACAAGTGGACCATTGCAGGTCAGGACCTGATCAAGCTAATGACAGTACCACCGTTGAGGAAGGCTCACTGGAAATGTGTGGGAAGCATGATTCTCCCAAAACTCATCCTTCTGAGAATCCTATGCAATATGACAATACTATTAATGATAATGATCAAGCCCCGAAGCGTCAAAGAAAAGATGAGTAAGCCATATGATCTACTGAATCACAGTATCAGGATTAAACTTACAAGACGATACTGTTCATGAAAGATTCATTTTAGTAAGAAAGATTGGGCTGAACTTCGGGTAGAGGTCCGTAACTTATGAGTTTCTACTTTCCTATTGCGGTCAATCAGTTCTTGCATGTATACCATGCACATTTATTTAAGGATGATGAACCAATTGCTTGAAAGGCTTAGGCTCAAGTTTTGCTGTTAGAAATCCCCCTTGGTAGACTGTTTGTAGATACCATTATGGGCCTTGCTAAAGCTTGTGGCATGCTCTATCGTTAGAATGTGGTACCCTCTCTTTGCCCTAAATTTACTGTATACCAAAAAAAATAAAAATGATGAGTGAAGTCAATGAGTTCGTAGCTGAACTTGATGTCGGAGGTTTAACTATTTGGCCTATCTTTTTTCTCTACTTAGGTGCTTGCACCTCTAATGTAAAAATAATAAAAATGACGAGTCTAAAGTTTTGATTTGGCATTTTTCTACACCTTTATTTGGTCTCCTTGTAGGATATTCTAGTGTTCATAAAATTAGACCTCAAATCGTGGGTGAGGAACATATTTTAGGTCCTCTAAGGCGAACTGTTTTTTTTCCACATACACACACACACAAAAGTATATTTACAAAAATTTTATTTACAAATTCTTACAAATTGTATTATGTTTTATTGGTAAGATATTCTTGAATGAAATTTTACTAATATGACATAATGTAGTTTGTAATTTTTTGTTGTTGATATAACCCTCCTTATAGGTGAAAACATTAAATGTGGAGAATCAATGTCAAGATTAATTACTGTAAATACAGCAACTGCAGAAATAATTTTACCATATATATATATATATATATATATATATATATATATATATATATATATATATATGATCATTTGTGTTTCACATGGCATAGAGCCATACCCTTTTGATTGTTCCGTGTTAGCGAAGTAGCCAAGAAGGAAAAAGGATCAACTGAGAAACAAACATGAGGTTTATTTTCCTCATTTTGCTTGTGAGAAGTTGAATTTCCTGCACTAACAAATTCAGTTATGGGTCCCATTGTTTTCTTAAAAAGAAAAAAGAAAAAAGAAAAAAGAAAAAAAAGATTGCACATTCATCTATGTATGTATGGCAGAAGACAATTATCTACCATAACATAAGAGTAATAAAACCCATAATATATGGTGCCAGTTTGATAGGTTTTTTGTTTTAACTTTTCTTTTCCTTATAAATAAAAGTCATTTTTACAAAAGCTCTTATCATAAAAGGAGCTTTTTTTTATAATGTTCATGCCAGTTTGAATCTTTTTTTTTTAAGTTAGAAATTACTTATAAGCAAAAGTTAGATCAATCAGATTTTGAGAAAAGTTCTTATAATAAAAAACTATCCTTTTCTTATAATGAAGAAAAAAACTACAAGCCAAAAGCTCCTAGAAGGAGCTTTTTTTTGAATTGTATATTTATTTTTTAAATGAAGAGCTATAGAGAGAATTTTCTTGAAATATATGCTTTTAAGTTAAATTTTTTATGTAATCATCAAATAACTTTTAGCTTTTTTTTAGCTTTAGCTTATAAGTAGCTTCTATTTTGAAAAAGAGAAGATCCAAACAAGCTCGAAGAAATAAGGCAAAAGCTCTTGGGAGAAGCTTTTATTAAGTTGTATTAGCTTTTTTTTTTTTGAAATGGGTGCTTTTTTCGAAATGAGCATTTAAAATTTTTTATATAATAATTAAACAGCTTGTAGCTTTATTTTTATTTTTTTTAACTTTAACTTAAAAATTACTTTTAGCTTAAAAAAAAATGCCAAACAGTCTCATAATAACGTAAGATTGAACCGTATTATGAACGGAAAAAATAAATAGGCTGAAGTCTGAACGGCATAAAAAAATAAATTTTTTTCACTCATTCTCTTTGGAACAAACATTTCTGGGTTATCTTTCCTTGTCTAAGCAAAATATCAATATTGTTTAGGGTTTTCATGTAAGTAATTTAGTTAATGCTACATATGTTCATTTGTAGATTCACACCAGCGTTTTGTTACGTTTTACTAACACCCACTCATAGAAGGATTAATTTCTTATGAAGTTATCATTTTTTACAAACATTTACTTTTAAGAACTAAAGCAACATATATACCCCCCCAAAAAAAAGAAAGAACTAAAGCAACATAAGTTATCACTTTCAGCTACAAATTCGAAAAAACAACTCCATATTAGTGAAACGTCCATCGAATAAAAGCAACATGTCATCGTATGATCCAACAACCCATTCAAAATATGAGAATTATAAGATCCTTCTTCCGAAAATCTTAAGGTGCCTAAAACAGCAAAATACTAAGAATGCAACGTTGAATCCTTTCAAAATAGGAAAAAACAAGGAGATATTTATTTCTATGATCTCAAATAAGGTATCATCGTTCTGCGAAAGTCGTCTTACTCACTCTTACTATTATTATTTTGCTTAAAATAAATAATGACTTGCTATAGTCCTCAATTTTTATTTTTCTAAGTATTGATACTCATAGTCTTATTCATTTGGATTTTGTTCGTTCAAGAATTAATACCTTAATACTTTAAAAATATAATACCTAGTTTTTTTTTTTTATAAAAAATAACAACAAATAAGTCCATGAGTAGAAATTATATAAACTAAATCCCAAATGAATGAAAATTATAAGGACCGACTCCTTAATATTAAGGACCAACATTTTAAAATATAAAAATCAATATTAAATAAAAACTATCGAACCAAAATCCAAACGAAGTAAATATAGAAACTAATTTTTAGTTTAGCCTATTTTTTACCCTTTTAATCCTACCTATCTAAAGTTCTCGAACTAGAGATGAGACTTTTTTTTTTCCTGTACCTTTTTGAATTCCAGAAAACTAAAGTAGAACAAGAAGAAGCTTGAGGTCCAAGATTTATTTTTTTCTACTAAACAACCACGTGCTATATATCGGCGGAGATTAAAACAAAATTTCTTTTGCGTAATATATATAATTAGTTGAGTTCGCTTTTTCTATATTTAATGTAAATAATTTTTTTATATTGAGCTCCAAACGACATTGTTTTAAGACAGAAATCAAAGTATTTTTGTAATTATAATTTATTTCAGAGTTATATTAGAAGCGAATGTAGATAACTTATCTATCTTCAGTATAGAAATATTAAATCCTAATTAATTATTAAACTTTTATAGATGCTAAATTTGAAACTTGTTCTAAAATTTCACCATGTAGTAATCTCATCCGAAATACTTTAGTTAGGTTATATATATATTCACCGCCTTTGCTTAGAGTAAGAAAAGGTTTGTGTCGCCATTAATGTACACATGGTCCAGTCAAGCCACGACATGAGTGGGAATCTGAGCACCAACCTTAAAGTAGAGTAGTAGACCATGTCACCCCAACCACCCCATCAAAAATCGATAGGTGGGTCGACAATTACAATATATAGGTGGAAGTGCACAGCAGTATATTATATGATAACATATTTTATATTCATGTAATATATATTTGGATCGATGTCAAAAACAACAAAAAGCTGGACTGGGAACATAGTGTTGTGACTTGGGGTCCGGCAATTTTGAAACTGACTTCGGATTCAATTAGCTCGAATTTTTTCAGGACGGCATGCGAAAACGACAATGACAATAATAATAAAATGAATTAAAAAAACCAAAGATAAGAAGAAGGAAGAGAATATCAAAAATTTTAACGTGAAAAATCTATTCAATGTGAAGAATAAAAAATTATGAGATCAAATCCAGAAAAAAATTTCATTATGAATAATAGGATTTACAAAAGATTCTCTCTGACTCAATAACCATGGACTTCACTCTCCAAAAGATGCATCTATTCACAAATGTCTCACGTAAGTGTTTCTCTCTGTAAAAGGAATAAGGAATCATACTCTACAGGGTATTCTTCTTCTTCAGCAATGATGTTTGGCTATGTTGCACCGACACACCGATACGGGACACGAGATACGATGCGACACGACACTCCGACACATTAATTCTAATTTTTTTTTAAATTTTGACACGTTAGGACACGTTTTAATATTATATAATATTTTTAATTTATGTAATGTATATTATATTTAATATTAAATAATTTAACAAAAAAATAAAGTTAAACTTATAATACCCATCAATTTTGCAAACAAATATAAGATATCCCAAATGTTTATATTAAACTCAAAAAAATGATAATCGTAATCTAACGAATCTAATAGTTGAAACTCAAAATGCAATGCAACGTAACTTTTGAACCTTTTTGGAGTCTTTGCAACGAGTATTGGGTTTTTGAAGTGTCGGTGCTTCATAGATGTTGGGTATTCTTCTTCTTCTTCTTCAATAATGGTGCTAGGTTTTTTCCTCAAAGAATTTGTCTCTGGCTTGTTCTTTTTCTCCAATGCGTTCTCTCTCTTCTTCTCTATATGACGGCTCAACACTTAAGCATCTCTTATAAACAAGAGATTACAACATCATCAATTTGGGCCAGGTCCATCATGGGCCACGGACCCAACAAATCCCCCCTCCGTGCCCATGAGGGAGGATATCCGAGCTCCCCCTTATCCGGGGTATGGAGCTGGGGTAGTCAACCCGGCACCTTCACAGTAATCTTCAAATTTCCATGTTGAAATTGTCTTGGTCATAATGTCCGACCAGTTAAGTCGGTATGGACTTTGTCGAACTGCAGAAACTTATCGTCTATGTGCTTTGACTGTGCATGGAATATTGAGTTCTTTGCTAAGTGTATAGCCCTCTGGTTATCACATTTTAGCATATACTTCTCCTGACTATGACCGAGCTCTTATAGAAAACTCTTCATCCACACTAGCTCCTTGTATGCCTCAGTTGCAGCAATGTACTCAGCCTCAGTAGTAGATAGGGTAAGACATTTCTGGAGTTTTGATTGCTAAGAAATAGCTTCCCCTGCAAAGGTATTCAGGTAACCTGTGGTCGACTTCCTCGAGTCGTTATC